CAGCAGAGAGAGAGAGAGAGAGAAAGAGAGAGAGAGAATGAGAGAGAGAGAGAGAGAGAGAGAGAGAATGTAATTTGCATCAATCATTCTGGTTAGTACAAAAAGAAAAAAAGAAAAAGAAGATAGGAATTTTTTTATTTATTTGTTGGTTAACGTTTGACCTTAACGAGAATTAGATCGATCTGTTAACATTATTTCCGGGTGTGTGTAATATCTTTTTATTTTTTTATTTATTATTATTTTTTTAATATATATATATATATATATTTATCATCTGCGAAAAAATGCATAGAAAATGAAGACAACTTAATAATCATACTTGTCATGGTATTTTTTATTCGTTTTCTCTCTCTCTCTCCCTCTCTTTCTTTCTCTCTTATTTTTTATTTTTATTATTTCTTTCTTCCAATTCCAGAAAATACAGTTGAGTTATATTTCGATATATTTTTTGTTCGTACTATTATTAAAGGTCCCATGATGAAAACAGATAGATAGTAATCTCGAAAACGTCTTCTCGTTAAACTACTAATACCATTGCTTGAGAATTTGATAAATCGATTCTACAAAAGTATACTTGTTTGTTTGTTTGTTTGTTTGTTTGTTTCTACTATCGACTTTATTCAGTTTTGTTTTTTATTCAGTTTAAAAGAAAATACTTCGCATGTGTCGATATTGGATTAAAACCACCACCGGTGTGGTTGGGGTAGGGAATGTAAATCGTTACTTTTCGAGAGCTTCTATATTCTGTTTCTGACACGTCTGAGAAGATACAAAAATTAAAAACAAAACAAACAAACAAATCAATGCAGGCGTGTAATAATAATAATAATAATAGAAATCGTGAGAATACAATGGTGATGTAGAAAAAAAAAAGAAAACAATAACCAATTCTTGTATTTTTTTTTATCAAACTAATTGTTTTAATTAATTGTTATTTGAAAAATGATTATTTACAGGAGATATAAGTGTTTCACAAATGTTATATAATAAATATGAATCGTTTATTTTGAAATTGGTGTAAGTTTATTTTTTTTTTTTTTTTTTTTTTTNACAGAATTTTGTTGAAGTGTCGATGATATTATTTTGATGAATTAAATTTTTTATTCATTACATTGATCATTTCTAAAATTTGGTTCTTATCAAACGACATAAATGAAATTTAAAAGAAGAAAATGAAAAGAAAAATAAATTCGATTGGGTGATATACTGAACGATTAGAAAACAAATTAGAAAGTCGAGTTCATTTCGTGTTAGTAGTAAACTCTTGACGATGAAGATGCGAAGGGGGTTGGTCTGACGTTCCTCAGCAGAGAGAGAGAGAGAGAGAAAGAGAGAGAGAGAATGAGAGAGAGAGAGAGAGAGAGAGAGAGAATGTAATTTGCATCAATCATTCTGGTTAGTACAAAAAGAAAAAAAGAAAAAGAAGATAGGAATTTTTTTATTTATTTGTTGGTTAACGTTTGACCTTAACGAGAATTAGATCGATCTGTTAACATTATTTCCGGGTGTGTGTAATATCTTTTTATTTTTTTATTTATTATTATTTTTTTAATATATATATATATATATATTTATCATCTGCGAAAAAATGCATAGAAAATGAAGACAACTTAATAATCATACTTGTCATGGTATTTTTTATTCGTTTTCTCTCTCTCTCTCCCTCTCTTTCTTTCTCTCTTATTTTTTATTTTTATTATTTCTTTCTTCCAATTCCAGAAAATACAGTTGAGTTATATTTCGATATATTTTTTGTTCGTACTATTATTAAAGGTCCCATGATGAAAACAGATAGATAGTAATCTCGAAAACGTCTTCTCGTTAAACTACTAATACCATTGCTTGAGAATTTGATAAATCGATTCTACAAAAGTATACTTGTTTGTTTGTTTGTTTGTTTGTTTGTTTCTACTATCGACTTTATTCAGTTTTGTTTTTTATTCAGTTTAAAAGAAAATACTTCGCATGTGTCGATATTGGATTAAAACCACCACCGGTGTGGTTGGGGTAGGGAATGTAAATCGTTACTTTTCGAGAGCTTCTATATTCTGTTTCTGACACGTCTGAGAAGATACAAAAATTAAAAACAAAACAAACAAACAAATCAATGCAGGCGTGTAATAATAATAATAATAATAGAAATCGTGAGAATACAATGGTGATGTAGAAAAAAAAAAGAAAACAATAACCAATTCTTGTATTTTTTTTTATCAAACTAATTGTTTTAATTAATTGTTATTTGAAAAATGATTATTTACAGGAGATATAAGTGTTTCACAAATGTTATATAATAAATATGAATCGTTTATTTTGAAATTGGTGTAAGTTTATTTTTTTTTTTTTTTTTTTTTTTTACAAAAAATTAGATTATATTCAAAATACTGCAATATACAGTGCATAAGTTGATACTATCAATAATCTTGCAATTTTAATAATTTAATTAACGTCTATAATTAATAATAAACAAAATTGGATTATAAATAATAATATATTATTTAATATAAAATTATATATATATATTATTTTATATTATTGTAGGGGGGGCCTTCGGGGTAAACACCCTAAAGGGGTATACCTGAAATAAAATAAATAACTAACTAACTATTTTATATTATTTTATATATATATATTATTATATTATATATTAATATATATAATATTATTATATAATATAATAATATATAATATATATAATAAATAATATATATAATAAATAATATATAATATATAATATATATATAATATTATTAATATTATTATTATAATATTATATAATTATATTATATTATATATTATTATGTTATATATATATATATCATTATATGTATTATTTTATAGATAGATAGATATAAAATAAATATAATATAAAAAATAAATATAGAATAAATATATATATATAAAATATAAAGTATATTTTAAATGATATTTGATTTTTCAAAATTGAAATTAAACGATTTTTACAATTGTTTATATTTACAAATTGGTGTAAGTCCACTTACAATCCTCAAATATACATAAGTTTACACAAATTCGCCTAAAACAAATTTACATAACAAAATTACATATTGATAAATTAGTAGAAACATTGACAGATTTCATATAATTAAACTTTAATTTTGTCGAAAGAAGATAAAATGAATTTAACATCATTTTCAAAATAAACGATCCATATAATATCGATTGATTTATCATAAATTTTGTTTTGGTATAGTAATCGTTTAAAAATCCAATATCATTTATACGATAATAATAAAGTAAAATGGTCAATACCTGTAGATAGGTTACCTGTTTTACGTTTGTTCAATCTCAGACTAGAATTGTTCATGTTATTTGGAACGTTAGATCGAACTAGCAACTGCTGACAAACTTGTCTTTTACGGAAACTGAACAGCCAGAGAGTACTGATAACGAAAGAACAACTACATGCCAACTAAAAGGATGGGCAACCTTTCCGGTCACGTCGTTTGAACTCGATTTACTTGGATCGATACTCAATCGATCGATAAATATACATACATACATATATATATATATAAACTCTAACTGGATTCAACAAAACGACGTTGATCGTTGTTTCATTGACGATCGGCGTTGACGATTAATTTGCTTTCACGATCGACTTGTTACGTGACTATTATCTATATCCTTGTTATTTATCTTTTTATATTACTGATACACCATACCCCATTTTAACGTCGATTTTCTCCCCATCAAGATATTAGTTATCGTTGACGTTGTCCGATTTATGACAAACTATTAATATATTATCTATCTTATTTACATACGAGTATGTGTAATAATATATCGTCGTTCATCGCTCATCAAATAAGTATGATCAATTTTTTTTTTTTTTTTAATATATTGTACTTTTATTTTTTATATTATTTTTTTTTTTTTTATATATATCCTATAATCTTTGATGTTGATGTTCGTTTTCGCATTTCATTGTCTATCGTCGGAACGTTAAAAATCGTAGCATGTCATTGAAGGAGAATGAGTTTTCATCTTTCAACGTGGAAGAAAATCGTTAATTTAACACTCTGTCAATATATTGTATATATATATGTGTGTGTGTGTCTAGTATTTTTTTTTAAATAAAAATATTTTTAGGGTAGCAGATGCATCGTATAATTGTTCGCGTATAAAAAAAAGTAGAAGAAAGGAAATGAATTTGACAAGTTTTCCCGAAAAATCCAATTCAATGAATGAACGAACGAATGAATGAGAGAACTCGTGAAAAACGAAACGAGAATTTTGCGATATATATATACATGACTAGGAATATAATTAAAAGAGAGAACGTTAATTAATGTTAATTTTTATTCAAACATTTCTCGTGGTATTGGCAGACATTTTAGAATTTTCTACAAATTCCAATTATATTAATATTTTATTATTCTTTATAACTGATCACGCGAATGTTTTATTCATTTTTTTAAGTAAAATATATTATATATATTATAATATATATTACTATAAAAAAGAATATACTATATATATTATACATTATATATTTTATATTTTATAATATAAGTTATATGTTATATATATTTTATATTTAAATAATATATACTATATATTTTATATATAATTATATATTTTACGTTTGTAATATTTATTTAATTTTAATTAATTTTTAGCTTATATTATATAACATAAAATATATAATATATAATATATATAGTATATTTTTTTTTTGATAGTAATATATATTATTATAATATATATATAATATATTTTACTTAAAAAAAAAATAAAACATTCGCATATATATATGATATAAGTTATGTTATATATTTTATATTTAAATAATATATATTATATATTTTACGTTTGTAAAATGTAACAAGATAGTATTTTGAATTTTCTAAACAATTTTGTAATATATTATTAACAATATTACAAGGAATGAAAAAGAAACTTATCAGGAGTTATACCAAACTACCCCTTATCCTAAAATGTATCTTAATTTTTTTAATAGTAATATATTTTATTTGCAGACGAGGCAGAATAGTGGGGTGGTAGGGAAGACTGGAGGGGAGGAAAAAACAGGGGAATGTCCTTCGAGGATGTCGGTAATAAGAGCTACGACGACGTCGACGACAATCGTTCCTACGACGATGACAACGACGATGACAAGAACGACATCAGCGATTACGTCACCACCATTATCCGTCCTATCGAAGGAATCAGATGATGGAATAGTATCATCGTGTAACGTATCGACGGAGTCACAGGTGGAATTGGTATCATCATCCCAAGTGCAATCCCAAGTGTTGCAATCTCAACTTAAATCCCAACTGGAATCCCAACTGGAATCCCAACTGGAATCCCAACTGGTGCAGGATGATAAAAGGGAGGATAATATCATTGACGAAAGAAAAATAATTTACGGTGTTTTCCCTTCCTCCTCCTCCTCGACATCTTCCACGTCAGCTGTTTTACCGATGACCATGGCGGACCCTTCCAAATTGTCATCGAACACCGCCATCATGTCATTTCCAGCATCGCCACAAAAATTGGCTAATCAGCCGAGAAAGATCTCATCTATAACCAAGTCTCAGATGAGAGGTGAGTGTCTCATCTTCCCTTCACGATTATACAGATGGTCCTAAACTCGTTTCAACAATTTATTATACCCTTTTGGTTAATTCATTTTAATTACTTTTTTTCCCTTTGCAACTTGTGTTTTATACGAAGAAAATTATACATGCAAATTAACAATTTAATATCTTACCAAAAAATAATCATTTTTTAGATTAACTATAATTATTTAATTATATAATAATTATAATATATATTATATTATTAAAATATATATATATTATAGACCGAGAATAGGAAAAACTGTATAGCTATATTTCGCCTCATTCCCTCGCAGTCTAAATCCTATGTTTGTCTCTTTTTCTCTCATTATTTAGTATGGCAACCGTTTCATAGCTTCGTTACATAGCTCCGTTTGCGTTTATTTACTTTTCAGATCACTCCCATTCTAAAAAAGTTTTCACTTCAATAATATATTAAATATTTTATAGTATTATATTATATAATATATAATAATTATTAACTAATTGACTGCTAGACATATTTAGAGTATCTTGCCTTAAATTTTGTAAAATATAATAATATTAAGTTACTGATAATGGTATTTACAATAATTTATAATTAATGTTTTTTACAATATATATAAATATTTTATTCAATCTTTTTAATAATTCTTAACACAAATAACCATTTGTAATTAATCTAAAATTGCAGCACATTATACGAGATATCTCGTAGTTGGCAGTCAATGGGTTAACTTATTATTTGTTGCAACGATTACAGTTTCATACGCGATGTATTTCAATACGTTTCATAGATGATCGAATTTCTTGTTTCTTTCCTTTTTATTATTTTTTTTAAATTCTCCTTTAAATCACGAATGGCGAATATTCCATTCCATTCCAATCGATAGGATTTTGTGGATTCGTCATTCCACTCAATTGGACATTGGCTATCGGGTGGTAATTATTATTGAAAATTGATCACGTTTAGTATCGTTAAACGGAAGTACTGCATTACGATATTATTGCGTTTCGAGTCATCGATTTTATTATATACCACCTTACGTATTTCGATTATTATTCTTGTTGGTGTGATGGTAAATGCAACTTTTATTACACCATTCTCTTTTTTCTCACCGTGTAGTCTTTAATCTTCTTTCTTTTTTTTTTGTTTTTTCTTTTTTTTCTTTTTTTTATTTTCTATTTCTGTAATATCTTTCTCATTTAGTTGGACTTTGATGAAGAGGGGAACTCGTAAAACCTAAAGTCATAAATTTAATTGAACGTTCAAGTTGATAAAAACATGTTCAGTCGAGATTATATACCAGTTTTTGTTTGCAACCTAAGAAGAACAACTACATGTATATGTATATGTGAAAATCAGAATTTTTTTTGCACGGGGTATAATGAAATTGTAAGTAAAGTGAGACGAGTGTTCAACAAATGTTCAGAGAATAGAATTTTCGATGTTTTTCTTTTTCTTCTAAAAATCATGTTGATATTTTTATTGAACAAATTACTTATACAATTATCGAATTTAATTTATAAACGATTATTAGAATAACAGAAAAATATTCTAAAAAATAATTCTAAAAATATTCTAAACATTTCATGTTTTTTTTTTTTTTTTTTTCTACAAATCATGTTGATATTTTTATTAAACAAATTACTTATACACTTATCGAATTCAATCAATTTATAAACGATTATTAAAAATAAAAGAAAACTATTCTCTTGATTTTTTTTTCTTTTTCAAATGATTTCATAATAAGGTATGAAATTTAATTAAACATATTATTATCCTCGTAGATTGTAATTATTTAATCGATTTACGTACCTTACGTTCTCTCGTTAAAAGCTGTTAAATATTATTCAATTAAATACTGATAAAAATATATATATATATATATAAAATAATAATAAAAAAAAAAAATAAAAAAAAATTAATAAAATGCTTGACACGCGATCAATAAAATCGTTTAAACGTTAACTAGACGTCCACACGTATATGTATGTGTGTATGTATTTCTATTGCACACCTTGTAAATGAAATTATAAACGATTATTATTTACAACACGGGGCAAGTTGAGAACGGGGTTAGCACAGTGCTTTAGAATTTACGATGAATTAAATTTCTCTTGGAACTGTTGAGAGATTATCGTTGTTTAGTAAGAATTAACAATTCATTTACAGACGGATCGAGAGAGATAAAGATAGTTACACAGAAATAGAATGTGAGAATTCATTTTACTTTCAATTCGTTTAAATTTGTACGCCTTGTGAATGAATAGTTCTCTCGTGATACACATGCACTCACACACATACTTTTCAATATACATACTTATATCTAATCGTTTAGATTACCAATTGAATTTTCAACGTCACCAACACCCTTCTTTCATTGATCGGTATCGGAACTATGTCGTATGGAATACAAAATCTATGAGAAATAATAATAATAATAATAATATAATATTTGATTTATTATTAAATCCAATAGTATAGTCGAAAATTCATTAAATTTCTTCGTTTATTATAAAAAAATACAAATAAAAAAAACATATTATCCTTTAGATTGGAAATATAAATTTTAATTTTACCAAAAAAAAGAAAAACAAAAGAAAATTTTAATAATTATAAAAATCATTAATTAAAAACAAAATCTATGAGAAATAATAATAATAATAATAATAATAATAATATAATATTTAATTTATTATTAAATCTAATAGTATAGTCGAAAATTCATTAAATTTCTTCGTTTAGTATAAAAAAATAAAATAAAATAAAATAAAATATAAAATTATTATCCTTTAGATTAGAAATAAATTGTAATATTTAAAAAAAGAAACTTTAACTTAATATATAATTTAACTTTTAACTTATAATAATTATAAAAATATAAAATATATTATTATATAAATATAAAAATAATTAATAAAACAATTATAAAACAATTTATTATAAAAATATATTATAAAAGTAATTAATTAAATAAAAAAGGTAATAAAAATGAAGTGTTCATTTTATTAGTAACTATTATAATTCTGGTTTCTTTTTTTTTTTTTTTTTAATTTGTTTTATTACTTTGAGACAATCTTACAAGATTCGTATAAAGTTTACCGAGAATTTCTTGTTTGTTGAAATAATGTTGTATTTTTTTGTTTTGTTTTGTTTATTTTTTATTTCTTTTCTTGTTACATGATAATCTCTAGAGAAGTCTTCGTGAATGAGCAATGTGTGTGACGTTCGTTCGAGATTAGACTGTTGAAAGGAGTTACTTCATTTCTTCATTCCCTTGCTATATACGGGTATCATATGTATGTATTTGGAGAGAGTGAAGGCTCCAATAGAGCGTAGGTCAGTGTCGGTGATCAAGAATAAGCCGTTAGGTATGCCAGGTCAAAAATTCCAGTCTTTATTGAGTCTCTGTACAGTAAGTCGATATATAATCTCTAGTCGCTATCTCATTCGAATTCGAACTGATCGTCGTTCGGCTAAACTCGGCCCGGGGGGATCGGGCCTCCGGCGCGGTGCCCGTCTCGGACGACCGCGGCGCTGCTGAGCGCGCACCGCCACATGTATGTATATATGTATTGTGTATACTTTATTCCCACAGGCACTAAGAGTATCTGTGTGAACTCGTTAATTCACCGAGTATACATATATATATATATATATACATACATTGTATATCTTTATTACAAAATATCAGGTGCTTTTGTAACACTGAAATCTGATCGTAGTTGTTTCGATGATAATAATAATAAAATAATAATAATAATAATAATAATAATAATAATAATAATAATAATAATAAAACAATACATTACAATCGTACATTTATCAACAATTGTAAGTAGAAATGATATTGGAATTTTGTAATACACCAATACACTCGTATACTCATTGATATAAGTATATAAGTATACACTTGAAGAATATTCATTCAATATATTATAATATTACACAGAGTAAGTACAAACATTCATTCAAACATACCACATTATAATATTCAGCAAAATTGTAGTGGTTGATGACCATTTATGTGGTTGACGCGTTTAGAATGATATTAAATTTGATTTTTCTCTATGACTTTTAAATGACAAACATTTAGTTGAAAACTTAATTAATGTAATAACAATCATTTTTATTAATGAAGTTTCATGAATTTTCTGTTTATTAATTGCAAAACAATTCAAATATATCACATTATAAAAATAATCTTAAAATTTGCATTTTTATTTTATGAATTATTATATTATCAACAATTTAATAAAAAAAAAAAACAACAAACAAATCTCGTATATGAATATTCCCATTTTTCTCGTGGAGGAAAATTTATTCATTCGTTTTTCGTTCAATCGATTGGTATGATAAGAAAATGTCGATGAGAGTGTCCACTTGAGTGTCAATCTCATGGACGAACTATGGAACGATAATATTCCATATAAAATTGATGATACGTATAGACAATGTTCTTGAAGATAAAATAAAAAAAAAGATTCCCATAGAAAATAAGATGAAGAAGAAGAAGAAGAAGAAGAGAAAAAGAAGATATAACTATACCGATTGTGAGATAAGATATAACCCCATGGTTGAATAGCTATAATCCTATAATATATAGGATGATTCACGTTATCACTATAAACATTACTCAATTATTATTAATTTTTAATAGAAAAAAAATATTATTATTTTTTATATATAATTATATATATTTTTATATATTTGTTTTATATTAGTTATTAATATTTTAATATTATTTTATTTAATTACAAATTTGTATATATAAATTTCTTTTTAAAGTTTTTATAATATTTTAATATTTAAATTTTAATATTATTATATTAAAAAAAAAATTAATATTAATATTAATATTAATTTTAAAAATTAATATTATTAATATATTTATTTGTATTTAAATTATTAACATTTTATATAATTTTATATAATTATAAATTTTAATA